GCGCTGTGACGTATGCAGCCGACAAATTCGACCTTCGGAGGACCCGGCCTGCCGTTTTGGACACAGCCATAGTGTCGGCGATAAAGCTAAAGCTAACAGACTAAGCTGGGGGTCTTTATTTTACAGTTAAAATGTATGTTTATCAAATAAAGTCTAATGTTACAACTAACCGGGGATCCCTTTAAAACAGCATTTGTTTTATGAGGGGCGTCCCTGGATTTTTTTTAATTTTCGCCCAGATGAGGACCCCTGGTCTAAAGCACCAGAGTCAGGTCTTCATTTCTACCTCCGCACAGCTCGATGCCCTTGTTCGCCCTTTGGTCCGGTGGTCACTCAGCACCGAGCCTCGCTCCGTTTCAAGCAGCCATGTCGGTGACCTACCTTTCCGGATCAGGTCCTCGGTGACCTGGTCGAAGCCCAGCCGGTGGCACCTCCTCCACAGGCCCATGTTGGTGGAGTTGTACTGCCTGCTGCATTCATCCGCGGCGCTCATGGCGAACAGCTGCCTGCGGCTCAGCAGCAGCCGGTCCGGCCCGGTGCGGCTGGCCCGCAGCGGCAGGCTGTTGTTGGGGATGTAGATGAAGCCGGGGTCCTTGCGGCGGCTGGAGAAGCTCCGGCAGCGCTCCCGGTACCTCCTGGCGTCGGTCTCGTACCAGTGGTCGGAACACATGGCCACGGCCAGCATCCCCAGGGCCCACAGGGACAGGGAGAGCCCGGCGTAGAGCAGCAACTTCCCGGCGGCCATGCTGCTCCTCACAGCCGCATCAGACGCCTCGGCACACGGACAGCTCCTCTGCAGCTCCCCGCCGCTTCAGCTCGCAGCATCCGGAGCCATGACCCGGAGAGGAGCGGGGGGGTGGGGGGAGTCAGGTGGTCCTGGTGATCTCAGAACTGATCCACAGCATCCGTCTGTCTGAGCAGGGCGACACCAACAGAACACATCAGCATCCCGCCCAGACCCGAACCGATACACACCTAAGACCGCTGCACAGGCAGCCCCCCACAAGACCACCTATCTGCAGCCTAAATGACAGACAAAACAAGCAGGACTCGGATCGGAGGTTCGGCAGACATGAAGGTTTACCTGATGGGTCCAAACAGAGCGGACCGCAGCCCAGCAGCAGCACGTCTGATGGATGACGGGCTGTCTGCGGACCAATCAGCTGCAGCCAGAGGAGGACCACCGCAGCCTGCAGCTCATCCAAACAGCATCACTACAGCCGCCACGGGCTGACACTGACACCCAGCTTCTGCTGAGAAATGATGAAAATGCTGCTGGGAGGACTGGTGAGACGAGGCGCTCAGGATGTGTGTTTGGGATCAGGCTCAGCTCAGGTTTAAAACTGACACTTTTGTTTCCTGAGGCTGAAAACCTAAACCTTTGTTTCCCTAAAATAAAGCAAGACCTCACTTTGTTGCTTATCTTTACGTTTAAATCCAGAGTTGAAAAGTAACTAAGTACAAATACTTCTTTACTGTACTTAAGTAGAATTTTTGGGTATCTGTACTTTGATTAATTATTTTTCAACCTACTTTTTACTTTGAGTTCTTACGTAGAAAGTCGTTACTTTTATTGTTGCTTGTTTTCATCCCAGCTTGTTATTGTAAAAAAATAATAATATCCATACAAACTGTGCCTCCTACAGTGAATTTAACTGTGGTTGAATAAGTATAAATATATAAAACTCTGATACTGTATTAGTTTGTACACAAACAAATCATGTCACACTCCAGCAGGACATAATCATTAAAATAAAAGGACTGTACTTAAGAAGTATTTGTATTTCATGAATTATATTATTGCATTTGGCCGCAGCCCTCAGATAGATTTTCATTTTGGAGAAAAGGTTTGGGCACCCTTGATATATGTATATAAACTGAAACAGCTGGACTAG